CAGTTGGGTTGCAGCGGACACCACCTCGTCCCGGCTCAGGCCCACGAAGTTGGCGATCACGGTGAAGCTGGCGTCCAGGTACCTCACATCGTTATGCAGCAATGCTATGCGCCTCGTCATCTCCGTAAACCGAGCGTCCTCATCATGGCAAGTGTTAGGCGCCTGCCTCCCATCTCCCTCCGCAGTGTTTCTCACCTGCACCACTGTCCCCTCTGCGGTAACCAGGCCTTCGTCTTGCGGCGGGACTTCAATCCCCAGTTCCTGTAGTTGTTTCAGAAGCTCTCCGCCAGCGTGTGCACACAAGTCTCGGCGCATCTCCCGCCTGTATTGGTGCGGTGTCACACCCTGGAACCAGAGGCCCGAAAACACCGTGGCGAAGTCGGTATGCACCAGGGTCTTGAGGTACTGACAAACAAAAATCCCACAGTCCTCCTTGTTCGGCTGCTGTGGCAGCTTATCCTCCTGTCATAAGGGTAACGAATACCGAAGTTATCAGTATGCACACCTGTGTATGCAACCAGCACAGCTGTGTACAGAACGAACGAGGCGTACTCACCCGTAGAATTACGCAGTCCGCCGCGCTCAGCGTCCTGTCCACAACCTCCATGTTAGCGTTTGGGTTACTCGCCTTTGCGAGTTCGGACAGCAACCTGCATACAAGAGTTCGTCCGGTATTAACAAAATTGAGCATGGACGTATATGCTATGCGCTTCGTTATGCCGAAACCCCTACTCACAGCTTCGTGCCTGCAAAAATCTTGTGGCTATTTCGATTCTTGATCGCGCTGTCCAGCAAGACCAAAGTCAGGCGCTCCTTGCCCTTGGTTCTCTGCGTCTTGGTGAGCACCGATGGGTTTATAGCGATGACGAGGGAATAGTGCTCACTGCGCGCAAGAAGATTGGGGTGAAACGGGATCGGTGTTAAACAGCAGTCGGTTGCACATCACGGAAACCAACCGGGAACACTGGTAAGATGAGTACACTCACGACTCTAGGACCGGGATCGCAAGATAATCGTGTTCCAAAAGCGGCCGCCCACTCCCCAGCGTTAACGGCACTCCATGCGCAGCTGTTGTCTGTGAATAGGCCTTGCAGTCCATGGCGGCCCATGTCTTGCCGTCGCGGAGCGACGGCTTCCTGATGCTAAGCAGCCTGCGCAGAGGTGAACACGAACAAGTTAACACACCGTGCTACAGTGAGATGCGCAGAAAATCGTACAAAAGCGCGCGCATGTGCGGGGCGGTCAGCACGGTACTTACACGTTGTGAAAGTCCACCACGCCATCGGTGATCCACTGTTCGTCCTCGATCGACATGAAGTCGTCCTTGTCCACCTCACATCCGACACCGCGGTGATTCATGAGCCTGATGTTGCAGTAAGATGATTTCGCATAGTTCCGGGCGATAGCGGCCACCACATCGTCCGGCACCGGCTCTGTCGCCTTTTCCACGACATGGGTCGCGAACCTAGAAGCCCTTCCGCCGTCCTTTGTCGGCGGACACGGAGGTGATTTTTTGTCGCCCTTGGTCGACGCTCTGGTTCTGGGAACAGACGGGTCAGGATCTTGGTCATCGCCGCTGCTGCTAGTCTCCGGTTCATGGAACCGGTTGCGCTTAGAGACAGACTGTTTAGGAATCGCCATCAAGAACGGACACTGAATACCATGCGGAGGAGGCCGGCCTTAATACGAGGTGAGCACGGAGGGGATGAGAGGGAGAACACAGCCACTCACGGATCTCGCCTGGAGGGAACTACTCTGATTGACGGGTGGGCCAAGATGTCGCCTATAACCTGGTGGGTGTTGGGCATGCATAGGCGAAATGGTATACACCGTTGGATGAGATGCGCATGCGATGTCCACCTGTGACTCGATAACGAGACTGGATGTGATGGTGAGGCAGCATGCATATCCACGTGTTGTAAACCAAGGGGTTCGGAACACGAGGATGCGAGATTTAGGGTGGGTCAGCAATTCTGGTGCATGGAACACCATTTGGTTTTCCTTGTACAATCCAAGTGACGCGGAATCCGATAACGGCGTACGCGGACGTCAGCACTTGGGTTGTTGGGCCACCAGCGCGCACTAAGTATGGGTTGTACACGATGTAGTCGTGTACTCTTAAAAGCGGAAGTAAAATTTGTAGGTTGTCGTAAACAATATTGCAATATGCATAACGGGTATATTACGTGCAAAAACAATACACAACGTCTTATGGAGCCAGTTGTGTACAATCCCACAACGTCAGTTATTGGCTATTTCTATTTCTGGTCGTACTAATGACCGCGCTGATAATTCCGGGTCAAAAACGGGGAGTGTTATTTACCGGACCACCGTTACACATTCTGCAATTATAATATGGTTGTGCATTATGGTTGGGTGTATAATGTTTACCGGTGACAATCGAACAGATGGTATGTGCACACTTTTCAAGGTTCTGTGCACATGAGTGTGCACCATGTTGATCCTCTGAGTTGTGTTAGAGCACACCTGTGGCCAGTCCGAGTTTCTATCGCCACGGTCTCTAGGGTTTCAAGGTTGCAGGATGACGGGGAACAGTTGCATGGTGTGCGAGACGGTGTTTAAGGACGACAGCCGGTTACAGTCACATGTCGCTAACGGTGCAATTTGTCGCGCAGAGTTGAAGAGGAAACGGGAGAGTCTTTTGTTGGCGGCATATTTGGAAGCAATTGCCCGTGACGGAGAGAGTAGACCAAACACACCGCCCGCATCGCGGCTTAAGGATAATGACGGCAGTGTTGTATCGGTTGCTCCGACCGCCTCTATTCCCGAAGTTAGCCTGGTTAGCGCCGCGGATACACCAGCTGACGGCGAGAATGCGGAGTCATCGGAACACAGCGAGAGGGCGGAGATTTTCGACACACTGACCGAGTTGTATCTATTCTTCCGTGACGCCGATCTTTCGCACCGGGAAGTTAACCGTCTGTTACACATTTTCCGCAACCCGCGCTTCAACTTACGGGCCCTCCGACGATGGCGCAACTGGGTGGACGTGCGCCGATGGGGAATGGCGCGCGCTCCAGCAAACATGGTCCCGTGGAAAACGGAGGAGATAGTGGTGCGGGGCCCCAAAGGAATGCAAATGAAGCTGCTACTGCACTACCGCGACACAGAGCTGGTTCGTAAACGGCGGCCACACCCGCATCCCCCGTCGTCGTCACTGGGAAGGAATCTTGCCGCTCACTCCTGATTATATCCCGATGCGCGCAGATTCTGAAGAAGCTGGTGCGGACGTTCTCATCCAAGAAAGGGTTCGTGTGGAAACCTAAGAAGATTCATCGGAAGAAGAATGGCGAGAGGGTATTCGAGGGGCCGGAGACGGGCGATTGGATGCACGCTGCTCAGGTAAGTGCATCGGTAGGCCAGTCCACATTACATGTGAGTCCCAGAATGCTATAAGACGGAGTCTAACATTTGTGCAAGGGCATGTATGGTTGGCATGGCAGAAGGAGATTAATGACAGTGAGGCACTCATACTAGGCGTGCTGATATACAGTGATAGCACCCAGGCATCACGGAATGGTCGGAGGAACGCGTGGCCGGTGCTGATCTCGCTTATCAACATACCAGCGGAATTACGTGGGGTGGAGCCTGGGCACACGTTGGCGGCGGTGCTGCCATTCCCACCCGAATGGGCATCGCCCACGGAGAAGACGCGGGTTTTCCAGGAGGCATTGAAGATCATCCTCGCGCCCATCATGCGAGAATCTGCAAGGTACTGAGGTGCATATGCTACACGAGCAGCAGGCCAGTGGGGACCCCAGCAGATATTGCCCCGTGTTATGACCGCGTATTGTGTGTACGTTCCTAACCTAACTCACGGCCACGTGTGCATAGTCACAATGTGCAGCGGGCCAGTTCGCTTCTTCTACTGCACGGACGCGGACGGGAAGGTGCACAAAGCGGTCCCTTGCCTGTACGGATACCCTGCCGACTTTCTGGAGTCCAGCAGAGCTTCTGCGACTCTTCAGCAGGGGACGCACCGGCCGTGCGCTAACTGCTATGCAGACAAGGGGGAGTTGACCATGATGGTGGGGAAGGCCGATCCGCGTACCCCCGAGATGCAGAGGGACATTGTCCGCCAGATCCTGGCGTGTAAGAAGAAGGGCGACGCTGACGCCGTGCGGAGGCTAGGGTCAACACATCCGATCGAGGTGGGCTAAACCCTGAGGGCGTTTGCGTGCCTGTAGTGTACGGTGGAACCTAATGACGCGGTCGTGTCTTTGGTTGGACATTGCAGTGCGTACTTCACAGGTGGAATTTCGCGGACACAGAGTGGGGCAACGTGTATCTGGCATGCCTTGCAGACACACTGCATGTTCTGGACTCCGGTGTGCTGATCCACATGATGGACACCTACATCGAACCGCTTGGGAAGGTTGAGATGCGGACGCTTGAACGGTGAGCAGACTGTAGCCTGCATGTCATATCCTGGTGGGGTCATTTGGGTTGTAGTACACCATGTGTGCAGCGCTGATGGGCACGTCGAGTACTTGGTGTGCGCAGACGCAAGAAGGAGTTTAAGGCCATCACGCCTAGCGTGCTCCTCCGAATCCCAGGGGGCTCATCGTTCTTCAGTTCCGGCGCAAACTACGCTGCGTTCGAGCATAGGAGCATGATGCAGATAATGCCGATCTTGGTGGCTGACGAGAGCGCGTTGAAGGGTGATGAACCGGGAGAGCTGCGCGCGTTGCAGGTCAAAGCGTTCAGGCTGTTTGCTGTGTTTTACAAGGCGTTTCTGGCTGTGGACCGGCACACACATACCACCATTGCGATTGCACGGCAGCATGCGATAGCGTAAGTGTGTGCATTAGGTGCATCGCTGGTCGGAATTGCGGTGGGTTTGTTGTGGCGGCCGTCGGGTGGCACACGAGTGTGCATTGACTGTTGCCTGCCATCGTGGACGATGTGGCAGGTTGGTGGCGTTGCTCCCGAGAGCATTTCCAACGCAGGCATCCCACTGGAGACTACCAAAGATACACATGATAAGACATTTACTGGACAACGTGGTGGAGCGCGGGATGCCGCACCATTATTCCACTGAGATGTGGGAGCGCACGCACAAGGGCACGGTCAAGGGTCCAGTTAGAGGGAGCAACTGGAGCGACATTCCGCGCCGAATCGTGGAGGAGGAGGTGCAGAGAGAGGTGTACCGTGAGGTGGCTGCAGACGCCGGCGGTGGGTGGCAGTATGCGTCTGCATTGCGCGAGGTGCGTAGGGGAGTGGTTGGTGCTACGATGGCCATTCATTGTGTAATGTTGCACGGGTGCCCATGTACGAGCGGAGCCTGAGGCAGGTTGCGGCTTGTTGTGGGAACGTGGTTGTACACGTGCAGGCAATCAAGACGAGGAAACCGGTGCTTACAAAGAAGTATCGGATCATGCGCATAGGCGGGGCGTCGGATCCGGTGTACGATGAGTACACAGCCGCGCTTGGAGACGAGATGAAGGGGATGGCCGCGGAGTTTAAGGCGTTGGACCTGGCTACCAACAACGTGCAGGTGTGGTGATAATGCTGTCGCACATACATCTCGCACCTGGGGCTTGCACGTTGGTTGCCACTGCACTCATGATGCTAAGAGATGTTGGATTGTACACAACCGCGTGACAGGTCCACACCGCGGTGGCCATTCCGCGCACAAGAGGCGGCGAGCTGGTGGCCAAAGGGACGTTTGTGAAGGCATCTCCACGAGAGAGGTGGTACTCGAACGTGGCACTTCTGAACAACAAGAAGGGGGACTGGTATGCAAGATGTCTGTGCATCTTCAGGGCGCTTGACCGTGATGGGGAGTGGAAGGGATACGCATACGTGAGGTACTACGAGAGGGCGGGAAGCTGCAAGCTTACAGGGTGCACGCAGCTGCACAAGAAAGTGGAGAAGGTGAGGTATTCGGTGGTGGAGCTGGGCAGCCTGCAGAGAGTTGTGCACGTGTGCCCGTCGTACAGCAACAACAAGGTGCAATTAGTTAACAGGTTTTTGCTATGTGAGTGACGGCACGTGTTGGTATGGTGGAACTTAGGAATGATGGGTACAGGATTGCAGGGAGTGTAGTCAACTGTGGTGGGATGTTTATACTTGGGTGGTTCAGGTTAGTGTTGACGCTGATGTGTCGCCACATATTGTGATGAATAAATGTGATATGGTGTCCGTGGGTGTACATTGGCATTTTGTGCATGGGTACGCGGTGGCAACCCTAAACCCGAAACGTATATGTTGGTGTTTAAACAGTGAGATTATAGTGGTAGCGGTCAGTAAACCCGGCCTATAACGGGTCTTGGTACGGTTGACGCTTGTGCGGTCGAAGTTGACGCGCTTCAATGTGTGGTGGTGTGACCGACCGAACACCCGCCGTTGGTTGGTCGGATACGGGTGACGCGTACGTGGCTTCGATTCGCGAGGTGGCCTATCTGAATGTCACAGGTGGCCGTTTCACATGTGTCCGTTATCTTGGAGCGGCGCAGGAGTTGTGCTCGCAAACTTGTGTGGCGCTTGTCAACCCTCGTACGTAGTGTGCGTACGAGGGCAAACCGGGGTACGTTCCAGTGAACTACAACGTATATAGCAAGACTGGGTGCCATCCCCCAACGCATACTTGCCCACCTGGGTGACACACAGCTTCAATGGGTGACCTGAAGGGACTGCTGGCTACTGCGCACCCGGACGATGTGTTCTGCTTCCACGAGATTAATTTTCTTCCGAGCCGCCTCCCGAAGACATACATTCCAGACAAGCGTAATGTTTGCGAGCGGATTGTCAGCATCGGCATTCTTTACAACGCGACGGGCAGTTGTTCCGCGGTGCCACTGGTGGTCCTATCGCCGTACGATAGGCCCGAGCGCAGGCGGGGGCGCGCGGCATCGCGCATGGTGGCAGTCCGATATACGCACCGCGGCCGGTTGACTCCGGAGGTAGGTGACAATTACACCTCGCTGTGCACCATGTCTGTGTCATGTTTGCAACGTACATGTGTGGGCCGACACACTGATGGTGTTGTGCTGTCGGTGTATGATGCTATGCTCGCAGGTGTTCACGGAGTTTGTGGAGACTGTCAACGGTGTGCACTTTAGTCGTGATCGCAACACACTCATCCTAACCATACACGAGGCGCATCGCATCACCGACGAGGTCGCGCGCCCCGTCTCGGAGCACGGCTTCAGTGTGCAGCACCTCACCAACACCCGTGTCGTCAACATACGTGGGTCGGTTCCCGAAGGGGGCCTTCCGCACCTGCAGGGAGTGGAGGACGCGCTGAAGGCCCATTACAGCGTTATGCTGATGAAGCGGGCGATCGCGGCGAAGCGGTTCCAGTTCGACTATCGCCGACGTGGACTACGGACTCATGCTGGAGTGGCTGGGGGAATCGTGGACCCGTGTGCGCGCTGCAACCATGCAGAGGAGCTGGTGGCGCGCCGGATGCGTGCCGCCGAGCTGGCCGCCGCTGATGGCGTACCTGAACGACACCAGCGCGACGGGCATGTTTGAGCCGCTCATTGCGACTTGCGTCGAGCTGCAGTTGCTCATCGAGAAGTTTAAGATGAGGCCTGCGTGCTACATGACGGCGGCGGAGTTCGTCAACTGCGACGCGGGGCTCTGCTTGGAGCAGGGGTTCGTTGCCACACCTGCTGCAAGCGCGTTGGATGACTCGTCGGGCGAGATGAGCCTGCCAGACGGCCCGCTGCTGCGGGACGAGCGCAGCAGGCGGCGCGTCATTTGCAACGTCACAAACGCGTACGTGGAGCGTGCCGATGAGCTCGGCATTCCCCCGGCCCTCGTGCCAACAGAGGTCGGCGCATCTAACCAGGAGGTGATTTCCCGCCTCGGCAGGACGCCAGTTAAGCGTGCGCGAGCGGGGCTGCGCACGGAGGACATGGCAGGCCCTTCGGAGCGCAAGGACGAGGACGACGAGTGATGCAGTTGGTTGAAGTTGTGCGGTGTGTGCGTTGTGCGTGGTGTGCGTAGTTGGCGTTGTGTGTGTGCGGTACCGTACGCCTGTGGATGACGGGGTTGGGGTTGTATTGCTGTTGTAATAGTGGTTGGAGGATTTTAATGAAAATGGATGAGTTGGGGAACCTTGTGAGACATTTGACGGTACGCGTGAACTTCGTTTACGGTCCGATGTTATAAGTTGACACAATGGACGCACCGCGGTCACCATAACGCGGGAATTTCATCGGGAAATTTGTGCACACGTTCGCGACTCGGGGTGTAGGTGTGCGCTCCGGGAATTCGATAGCTTTGCGACAAGGAAACTGTAATGTCAGTTTTTTGTGTCTGATGTACGCGCGCGTTTTCGGTGTTCAGAATGTTGCGATTTGCGTGCGTTGTTTTACCGCAGCTTTCCGCAACATTCACGCAAGGCAGAGGCAGAAAAACCTTCGGGGGCCAAAAAACGCAGTTTTCCTTTTTCGCGATGCAACAGTCTCGCGCACCGCCAGCATGGCGGGCAGTGGCAGGAGAACCGCAGGAAATGAAACATTCAAGGCACCGTGACGTGGTGTGACGTGACGAAACAATTGACAAAGCAGGAGGACTGACGTGAGAGTCTTGCAGAGAGATCAACTGGCCGGGCGAATCCCTGAATTCTAAAAACACATACGAATAGATTCAGTAAGAGGAGGACTGACGTGAGCGCTTTGCAGAGCGACGGCAGCACGTTGCGCTGCACGAGGTGGTGCGACCACGTATGCGACACATTCGCCAGGCGACCCAGCGACAGCGTCGCAGCGGATCGCACGGACGCCATGCTGTCCTGCGCGAGCGGCAGCAGCAGATGCAGCGCGCCGAGCGACAGCAGAGCCTCCGCGTTCTGCGGGGGAAGAAACGCGGGGCGGACAACGCATTCGGAGTCAATAGAGCTGGCGACTCGCAAAGAATGAACCTCACCCAGCAGCGCCATGAATTCGACACGAATTTGCCGTGAAATCGGCATGAATTCGCCTGAAATTCGCCATGAATTCGCAGATCGAAGCTCGGATGCTGAGAGACACTGAGATTAAGGCGCACCTGAGGCGAAACCACGAGTTCGCCAACTTTCATGACGAACTGCACGCCCGCGTCGCGGTACGCTTCCATTACCGCCACCACGGCTCGAGCCGCTTTGCACTGCGTGGGTGCTGGCAGCACCGCAGCCGCCGCCATTGCTAAATGCGACAGGTACGTAATTTTACGATAATAGTCGCACGATATTCCAAATAAACCAGTAAATTCTGCGGAAGAACAAAACGCGAAATTGCCGATGCGGGAGAAGCGTAACCATCGACGAGCGATTCGGCAAGCGCCTTAGAGTGGCCGTGAATCATAAGAGAAATTCTGTCGGGTTACGTAATTCAGGAGTTCGTTGACTCCTTGACTGATTCCTCCACTTGCTTACTAAGAACACTATTTCCTCTTGCTTACTATGGACACTATCTCCATGTCCTTGCTGCTGACTGCTCCTGATATTTTCTTCTCACACAAAGCATGTCAGCATTCCATGGTCACTATTTCCCCTGATCTTTTCTTCTCAAAGCCCGCGTCCCAAATTGCGGACCGCGAGGGTCAAGTTTTAAAATCTTGACGAAGTTGAGTGTTCAAGCTTTTGAAAGTCACGCACCTGCAATTTGGGACTTTCGAAGACAGATTCACTCACCAGGGGGAAAACCGAGGATTGGCTGGGTCTCGCGAGAAAAAACGAACCTAGACGAAATTGCGAACTCTCGCCAAAGCCTACACCAGAAAAACTCCCTCTGGTCAACTATAAAAAGCACGAACAATTTGGGCCGCTGGCTTGGTGCAACTGCTTGCTTTCTGTTCGATATTCCGCATTCCAGCACGGTATTGTAAACTTTTGAGCGGTTCTGTCAGTTCACCGCTTCAAACCGTTTCTCATCTCTCCAACGTTCCGTTCAGAACTTGACGCGGAATGTCTCAACGGAACCAATTGGAATTCCGAATGACTTGACGAGAAATCCGCAGGCGAACATGTGCGTAGGTTACCTGCTAGAGTCCAATTGTTAGGCCCGACGGCCTAAGTCCGCTAAAGAATTAGCGGCCTAAGTCGAGGATGAAAACGCGGCGGAAGACTTTGGCGAAAGAACTATTGGCAAAATATGCGAAAGAGTTGAACGAGAATTGATTCATAATGGCAAGTACAAGCAAGGTTGATACAGCATGCAAGATCGAATGTCGGAAAGTACTTCGTGGGACTAGGAATTGAAGGCAAGAAAGGTAGAGTGCCACGTGGCACTAGGAAATCAAGGAAGATAAGGATAAGGGTGAGCTGGAAAGTACTGTTCGAAATGAACAGTAAATCCCCCCTTAACACTACCCCCCTCCCAAGGAGGCGACGTCCGCGGCGCCTGCAGACTGGAGGTACGCTTGGAGGCAAGCGTTGTCGGGAGACAGCGAGGACGAAGGAACCCAGATGTCGTCTGCTGTGTCGTAACCACGCCAACGAACCAAGAAGTCGATGAAAGGGACACCCCCCTGGAGACGGCGACGGTGCCTGAGGATGCGCTGGATCTGGTAGTCGGGCTCGTCGGTGTCAACAGCTACCGGCAATGGAGTGCGGTCACGGCCCGAGAAGGTGGCATTGGGATCGGTGTAAGGACGAAGAAGCGACACGTGGAATGACGGGTGCATGCGGAAATGAGCGGGAAGGCGAAGGCGGTATGCAACTGGACCTAGTGTACGCTCAATGGCGAATGGACCAATGAAACGAGGGCGAAGCTTGCTGTCCTGTGGCAGTCGGAGGTTGCGGCTGTCGAGAAGGACACGGTCGCCAACTGAAAACGACACCTCACGACGACTGCGGTTGCTGGTGCGTGCCATGCGTGCATTTGCGAGCTCAAGGTGCTTCCTCACGTGATTATGAATGAAGGTGAGATGCTGGTGGAAGTTGTCAGCACGAGGGACTGTGGGTGTGAGATCGACTCGAGTGGGGACATTGGGGTGCTGACCGTACAGTGCGAAGAACGGTGACATGCCTGTGGACGAGTGGTGCGTGTTGTTGTAGGCGAACTCGGCCATGCTCAGCTTCTTGTCCCATGCGGCTGCGTCGTGCATCGTGATGCTGCGAAGAATCTGCTCCAAGGTCTGGTTCACACGCTCGGTCTGTCCGTCTGTCTCTGGATGGTACGCAGATGACATGGCTAAGCGAGTCCCGAACAGTGCGAAAAGCTGCTTCCAGAACTTCGAAGTGAAACGAGGGTCGCGGTCTGAGATGATGGAATCTGGAACCCCGTGCAGTCGGACTACGTTATCTACGAACAGCGTTGCGGCTTCCTCTGCTGTGACCTTGCCGTGCGTGGGGATGAAGTGCGCTGCTCGAGAAGACTTATCCACTACTACGAAGATGGCGTCGTGACCCCTAACTGTGCGCGGTAATGCCATGATGAAATCCATTGTGACTACCGGCCAAGGGCGGTCGGGCGGTGGAATCGGCTGTAAGAGTCCTGCTTTGCGCTGGCGAGAGGACTTCGTACGCTGACACGTGTCGCACGAGCGAATGTAATCCTCTACGTCTGCTGCAAGCCCTGGCCAGTAGTACGTGCGACTAAGCGTCTTAGCCGTCTTATCTGCTCCGAAGTGCCCTGCACTAACTACGTCGTGCGCCTCTGAGAGAAGGAGCTGTCGAAGAGGGCGGTAGGCTGGAACCCAAATCCGTGTGGTACCCTTCCGTATGTAGACACTACCCTGCACCTCTGCTCCTGCGGGCGGCTGCGGTGTGAAGTCGGGATCTACTGTGTAACCATGCTTGAAGAGTGCTGTGAGAAGTGGATGGCCGGCAGTGACTGTGAGGTTGGCGAGCTGGCAACTAGGGCGAGTGAGCGGATCTGCTGGGTTGCGAACGCCTGGCTTGTACTCTATCCTGTAATTAAAACTCCCCTCCATGAACTCCATCCATCTAGCCTGGCGACGACTCAGCTGCGGTTGTGACTTGAGAAAGCGAAGCGAGCAATGGTCCATGCGTATCACACTATCTGCCCCCTGTAGGTAGCACCTCCACACCTTATACGCATGGATAATCGCGAGCGCCTCCTTGTCGTGTATGGGATAGTCCAACTCCGCTCCCCTAAGCTTACGCGACTCGTACGCGATCGGCTGCAACCCGCGTGTCAAACATTATATATGTTCTGCTTGTGTAGGCTACAGTGGGTTAGCCTATAGGGGGTACACAATTCTAGGGTTTCCTACTTGTACTCATTTCACTGCTAGTTCATTCATTCCTGTTCGCTTATTCTCACATGGTATCGAGCAGGTTCCCCTGTGGGAACTGTTCGTAGGGCCCACCACCGCTACCTCTTAACCTTTTTTTTCCTGCCCGGAGCGCGCTCCGGGCCCTAGTACTTCTTTTTTTTTCGATCTGCCCTAGTGCTCTGAAGGCCGCCCGCCCTAGCGCCCGAGCGCCGCCGCCCTTGCGCCCTGACGGCCGCCCGCCCTAGCGCCCTGACGGCCGCCCGCCCTAGCGCCCTGACGGCCACCCGCCCTAGCGCCCGAGCGCCGCCCGCCCTAGCGCCCGAGCGCCGCCCGCCCTAGCGCCCTGACGGCCGCCCGCCCTAGCGCCCGTGCGCCGCTCGCCCTCGCGCCCTGACGGCCGCCCGCCCTAGCGCCCTGTCGGCCGCCCGCCCTAGCACCCGAGCGCCGCCCGCCCTAGCGCCCGAGCGCAGCCCGCCCTAGCGCCCTGACGGCCGCCCGCCCTGGCGCCCGTGCGCCGCTCGCCCTAGCGCCCGAGCGCCGCCCGCCCTTGCGCCCTGACGGCCGCCCGCCCTGACGCCTGAGCGCCGCCCGCCCTAGCGCCCTGACGGCCGCCCGCCCTGACGCCTGAGCGCCGCCCGCCCTAGCGCCCTGACGGCCGCCCGCCCTGACGCCTGAGCGCCGCCCGCCCTAGCGCTCTGACGACCGCCCGCCCTGACGCCTGAGCGCCGCCCG